GCTAGAAGTGGTCCAAGAAGGGGGGGATATATGTTTATTTATTTATTTATTTATTTACTTATTTATTTACACACACAGACACACACACACACATATATATATATATATATCTATATGTGTGCGTGTGTATATGGTGGGTACTGTGTGTACAATGTACACACATGTGCGTCTATATGTATATACTTATATACACATGTCTATATGCATGCAGGCACGGATGTGTATGTATATGCATGTTTGTATGTTTGTCTGTATTTATGTAGTTACATGTACATGTATGTGTCTGCATATGTGTATACATACACACAAACACACATGCGGTCAGTATTTTGGAGTTCCTCCACTTTGCCGATCCGCTATTCTGTAGCCCTTTTGTATGTACACAAGTTCAACTGTACATTTACGTCTAGATGTATATTCACATACCTACGTGCACACACACGTGCATATAAGCAAGTGTGTATATCACATACATACATACATACATACATTCATTCATTCATACATTCATTCATTCATTCATATATCTTTGTTTCCCTAGTGATTCGTTCGTTCATTCATTCATTCGTTCGGTCGGCCGCATTCGTTCAACTTGTAACTTTCTCACTTACTCACTCATTCATTTAACCGTGCATTTACTCATTCAGTTGATTTAACATTTGCTTGCCTGCATGCACATGTACCACTTCTCAAACTGCCAACGTGTCTGTGCATCGAACAGTCTAGCAATTAAGTATGTGTCTGTATAGACATACACTTGCCTTCCTGTGCGAGACGACTGAGTGCGTGTGTTTCAACTTTAACCGAATTAGGGTTCCGGGTTTCTTGTAGATTCTTGGTGGGTGGAGTGGACGCACAGTCAAGATAGGCATGGGGGGGGCGACACCCCATAGCCCTAACCGCTGGGACCCCAGCTACCTGTTTGCTCCTCGCCTTGGCAGGGATTGCTGCCCAGAGCGCTTTGGCGCAGCGGTTTGAAGTCGCACTGCAAGCCATTGGCAAGCTCCAGGCTAGATCCGGTTTTTTGCTGGTATATGTATGTGGCAGCGAAAGCTTCAAGGCTCAGGGTCGGCATCGCCTGTTCTCAGACCTCATCTTTCCGTATACCTTGTGCTCGGCGCAGACGCTCATGTGCGAGCATTCGTCTTCAGAACTGCACTTTGTCAGTCAGTATATTTCTGGTGTCGAACGGCCATAACCAAACAGTAGCAACAGAAAGTTGAGACATGGCACATCAGAAACCGGCAAGGTGAGTGCGGCATATAAAGGCAGTCGGATTACCCAGCTTCGAATCTAGACAAAATTCAAGCTTCCAGCAGTCTGCCTAGCAAAACGGGTTGTTGCACAGCCAACCATCACCAGCAATCAAGCCGCACCCTCCAACCGTGTGAGTACTTGAGGACAGTCGAATATCAACGAAGATTAAGCGGCACCGGCTCAGGGCTGGAATCCTCATTGTGTTTGCTCAGGTAGCCTCGGGGCAGTGTGTTGTTTGGGTGATTTTTGTCGGCTTGGCTGCGCGGTTCAGACACGACTGTGCTGGTAGGAAGAATTGGAAGCATGTCAGCAGCTGCGCGACAGCTACAAGCAGCGGCTCGTCTCTTTGGGTGTCCGGGAATCCTTCAGCTGGAAGATTTCTTGAAGCTCCGGAAGGCATCGAGCCGAAGGAGTAAGGGACTTGCTGCCAGTATTTCCGATTCGCACATGCGCATGCGCCAGAAAATGTCCCGTTGTGGATGTTGTGGCTCATCAAGATGCCTCTTGATGATTGCGCTCATGTTATGACTTCGTTTCTTCCTTTCACTAGCCGTAGTCGTCTCGCCATGTATTCCTCCTCTGAAGTGCGGAATGCTGGGAATGCATCCTATACCTATAGTCTCCATTGTAGTTCCTTGTTTTGGTTGAACCAGTTGTACATTAAGGATTTTATAAGGTATCCCCAAGAAGGAACTACAATGGAGACTATAGGTACTCTCCTGATGCTCCTCATGATGAATCCTTTTCGGATGGTTCCTTCGCCCCCCTCCTGTTGGCAATGGGGCCCTTGCATTTATCACCTTAAAAGTTTCAATACGTCAAGACAAGGCAGATCCGAATTAAGGACCTCTACATGGTGTACCCCTGCTTCTCATGATAAACCCGATTCCACAGATTCCACAGTCATATCGGGTAGAGAGGGCCAGGAAAATTCCGTTTGAGATTCAGGCTGCGACACTTTGTTGCTAGTACTGGCTGAAAGTTTCAGCTAGGCTTTGGTCCGCCCCTTCAGCACTTGAGCCACCTCGACAGACTACTTTACTCCTCTTCAGCAACTCTGTGGTCCATGACCCTTTGTCGCCACTTGCCGTCAACCTCTGTTGTAAGCCGAAAAATCACAAGCGCGCAAGGACACCTAGCCTGGTTTTTGCAGCGCCTAAAGCCCTGCGTACCTCTTCTTGGCCGTTACCCCCACGGCTTACAGTTTGCAGTAGCGTATATACGAACTTGAAGAGGTTTGGTGGTTTCGTCCGTGATTCCTCCTCATGGCCCGGACAAACCTTGACCATTCGAGGCAATGTGAGCGATTGCAGTCTCTGACTGGTCCGGCATCCTGGCCATGAAAACGTGTTGTGATCAGCAGGTTGAGGGTTTCAGCACGGATTCAGAAAGCTGCGAAACTAAGGGCAGTCTCGCTTGAAGTTGTCAGTGGCGCTCTAAACGGCTCACAGAGCGACGCATTTACTCACAAACGGGCCTGCGAGCGTTTGCAAGCTGCTCTCGACAACTTTGAAACATGTTGACCATGAGTTTTGGGGAGAGTTGTGGCTGTAATCATCTTGAAGAACGTCGCCAGAAGAAAGCAATGCCAGCTCAACAACTTAACAACCCTTCCTTTCCTTTCTAGGTTCACCACAAATCCCAACTAATCTCAAGTAACCCTACTCTCAAGATTCCGAGCTCTGACCATGAGCGAGTCGAGCATCGGTCTCGGGCTTCTTGTCCGGTCTGTATATATATATATATATATATATATTTGTTTTTTTGTTTATTTATTTTTGTTTTGTGGGGGGGTTCCTTGTCATAGTTAAAGTATCATATACCCCAAAACCCTATTCTACTTATTAAGGCCCATACATCGGCCTCTAGTGCTGGTTGGGCCTCTTGGGGGTTTTAGAGACTGGGGTTTTTGTCGGGGGTTTTGGGCCGGTTGCAGCTTCCGGGTTTGAGGGCTTCTGCGGCTTTAGGGAGAAGGGGCCGAGCCTAGGGAGCAGTGGGGAAAGCGACGGTTTCTTTCGCAGAGCATCGGCTCGCCTCGGGCACCCTACAATAGGAGTGTTTTGTGCATTTAGGGTTTAGGGTTCAGGGTTTAGGGTTTAGCGTCCTCCTGACAGACCTTGGCAGCCCTCGCAACCGAGAAGAGATAGTTCAGACCTCCCAGTCCCAGATGCGCATCCCGGGCCCCGGGCCATGTGACGAAATGCCCATTCAGGCACCGCAGCTGCAGCCGTCCTGACGCCATCGTGGCTTCACGACAAGGTTCAAGGCTGCAGGACCCTTCAATGCGACCAGAGCTCTTGAAGCCGAAGTCCCCTATACACCCAAGGGTCCAGCAAACTCTGACGTGCAGCCCGCAGGCCGCAGGGAGAAGGAACGAAGTTTTAGATGATATCGGGTGAGTTGCAGAGATGCAAACCCAGTGCTGCCGTGCTGCTTCTCTCTGAGGCCGTTAACGTAGCTTTTCCACACTTAGACACCACACATCTGCGGACAGGCGACAGGGAAACCATGCCAGAAGGGCCCGGAGCTTCTTAACCCTCAATAAATAAAAAGGTAATGCTCAGCTGCTCAGCCTAGCGTGCTTGCAGTTCTACTGCTCTCCGAGCTGCCATGGCTCTCGTAGGGTGGTGTGAGTCAACTTGCATTGGCTCCGTCATAGATCCAGCACCAGAGACATTTTGCTGCTGGCAAAAAGGGTGCTTCGGGCGACCGTCTGGCAAGACACCGCCTCTGCTATGGCAGACGAGCTGGACGAAATGTCATGCCTGCTTTCCCAGTATGCAGTTCTTTCTGGCCCTTTCCCAGAAAACTGTGCTGGCGGCGCCCGGTAAGCAAACGAATACATGAAGCAATCGATGAACACAAACGTACTGGTACACGCAGATGTCCTCACGGCAGGGGTGTATGGCATGATCGATTGATCTGTAAGTTGGTAAGCTGGTATAAGCGCAATTGCATGCAACAAAGCATGCGCACTCAAAGATGTATACGCGCATATATATATATATACACATATGTTATACTATATTATATTATACTATATTAAATTATATTAAATTATATTCTATTCTATTCTATTCTATTCTATTCTATTCTATTCTATTCTATTCTATTATATTATATTATATTATATTATATTATATTATATTATATTATATTATATTATATATAACTGGTTGTCTTATTCATATTTTGTTCATTCATATGTCGTTGCTTGCCGCTGTACAACATGTGGACTATGTAACACGCGGGTACCGAGAGGAATATTATGGGACATGGTAGGCCGAAGATGAACACAGATCTGTCTATGCATGAGCTTGGTAAACTGGTCACAATGATATATATCGACGCATGCATGCATCTGCACACACATCATATAATGATGCCCGGTGTCTGCGTCGATGGATGCTTGCATGCATGAATGTATCTTTGCTGACTTGCTTGCTTGCCTGTGTCCGTGTTTGCGTGTGTGCACAGGTGTGGATGGGTGGGTGGATGCTGGCTGGGTGGTTTGACCCAAGATCATATTTGGAGCATGCATATGCAGTTTGCCGTGGCAAGGCGGCTCGTAAATGGCACAAAGTCGTGCAGCAGTGATCCCAACTCTTGTAGGTCAGCCGCATGCTTTTGTCGGGTCTTGACTATGGCAGATTTCACATGGGCTGCACTAGTCGGACAGGCTCTCTGGAAGCGAAACTCTAACCCGGAGCCTTCGACGGTAGATCCCCCGCCGCTAATCTCAGAACTGGTCTACGTCAGTCTCTTTCCTAGAGTCCTAGAACCGAAGCTTCAAATAGAAGCTCGTCAGAGCCGAAACTTCGGACCCTAATTTTTGAGCTGTTCCGCCCCGCCGCAAAAAGAACGTCTCTTCTTAGGTGAGTTGGCCGCGATTTCTCCTGGCCCTGCCGTACTCGTGGCCACAGATGTGGCAGCTCGAGGTCAGCTGGCAGAGGGTTTCTCCTGTCTGATTGTCGACATTTGTCGATACTAACACTGGGTTAGCCTCACAGCATGAACTGCTTATGATAACATGTTCATATGAAAGCAGCGGGGTTAACAGGCCGGCAGCAATACCATTGTTGGCATTGCCAGTTTAGGATCATTCCCGCCATTCCAGAAGGTTTAGCAAATGCCGTGGGCGTCAGGGTTACTGAGTTACTGCACCTGCGGGCACCTCAACTTCCAATTGTCTAACATGCCCGGTCATTCTCGTGAATATGTACGGTCTAGAGTTTGTATGTGGACTGAGATGTCGCGTCATCGCGCTCACACGAGAACCACGAGACTTGGGCTAACAAGAGATAAACACTGATAGCAGCCGCGATCCCTTTCAGAATGGTAAAGCTCGCAATGCATGAACGGTTTGCACAAGCTGGTGTGCACAACGCGCGAACCGAGGATATGTGGCACGGAACAGCCAGACCAAAGTACGTGGGGTCTGCAAACGACGACGGTCACCAACATCGCCGAAACAGATGCATCCTTTTGCATGCTACAGTTTCCACCTTTCATGTGCGCCTGCATGTGGTACTGCGATGTGAATGGTTTAATGGATACGGACGTCCTCAGCAGAAGCCAAGCGATGTTTTGTTTTCACGGAACCCTTCTGCACCCAATACTCCTCTTGATGCTTGCAGCCTTTAAGCCCTCCGATTTCGCTGAAACAATGGCCAGCACACCTAGTCCAGAGTCGTCTGTTTCGTGCAGTACATGTTCGAAAGCATTGGTTGAAGATGGTCGACGAAGGTAAGGCATTGAACATCTGAATTTAGATGGATTTCCCGGCTTGCAGGATCACTGGGATGTTTGCTTTGTTGTTAACACTGTGCGCCTGTTGGCAGCCAAGGGCTCCGAATCGCAGGCATGAAATCTTGGGAAGTTAGCGACGGGCAAAGCTGCTTGTCCCCTGAGCCTTCTTCAGCTAGTGCACCCATGGCCTCGTCGACACGTCTACCTTGCTATGGCATGAGCAGGAAATTAGAGGCAAAATAACTTGTCCATGCGTGGGGCGGCCGTAATGAAAAAGCCAGTGGCAGAAATGCTCCAAGCCTGATTGCTACAAGCACGAAGCACTACAGCTGACAATGGCGGAGCCGTCGCGTCCGTGGGTGCATCCGGGCGGTGCGGCAGTACTGCAAGGGCTGAAGTCCAGGCTGCGAGCGGCAGATAGCTGCAATTGCCTGTGTATTCAAGATTGTCAAAGTATTGGTTGCCTCCTCCTTACATACATATGTTTTGTTGTAAGCCGGTCGTCAAGACGGGTTGACGCATTGCATTTTGATTCTTGACCAGTGCTACTGCTACTGCTACTGCTACTGCTACTGCTACTGCTACTGCTACTGCTACTGCTACTGCTACTGCTGCTGCTACTGCTACTGCCACGGCTACTGCCACTGCTGCTGCCCTACGTGTGCCATCCTTTACTGCATTGCATTTGTGCCATGTCGCTGTTGAAGCTGCTGATGATGATGTTTCTGCCACTGCCGTTGCTGGTGGTCTTGTCTTGGCCGTTGCTAATGCGGCTGTGCTGGCGTTGACATTCAGTGACAACGTGGTTTGGAGGATGAAGCCGTAGCATGCTGATCATGAAGACATTGAGAATGATAATGAGAGTGACGACGGAGAAGGTAGTCATGACCGTGGTAACGATGGTGGTTGGGAAACAGGTGTCGCGTTCGGCGGCGGAGAGAGTGTTGGTGGTGCTGTAGTTGATAACGACCGTGAAGCTGGTGATAACTTCAACGAGACGAAAAGCGGAGATTCAGTTCCGACGGCCCAACCGCGCGTTTGTCGATCTCATCAGGTTTAGGGTTTAGGGTTTAGGGTTTAGGGTGCTGTCCCAATGTGGCCATCTCCAACTTTGAAGCAAACGTACTCCCCTCGCACAGGCCGGAGCTGAATGGTCAGGAAGCCTCTTGGCTATGCCCGGCTGGGGTTTAGGGTTTAGGGGTTAGGGTTTAGGGTTTAGGGGTTAGGGGTTTAGGGTTTAGGGTTTAGGGTTTAGGGTTTATGAGGTCTCCGGCCCTCATAGGCACAGAGCACCTAGGACCTAGCTGGTATGGTTTGGGTCGTCTGATGTCGTTGCATCTTGGGAAGCAAGAACTAGCTCCAAGGATGGACTCTGGAGGGATTAGGAGCGTTTTTGCTCCTGCTCAATTGGTGCCAGCGTCTGAGCCTTTCGGCCCGTGATTTCAGAGGAGAAAACCCGGCAAGAGAAGTCAGTCCTGTGAGATAACAAAGAGGACCGGTTTGACCCTGCGATTTAGACGTGGAGTGCGTTACCTGAGTATTTTAGGTTTGGACAAGGCCAAGATTGGGTTAAGAGACCAGTTGAGTGTAGGAGTTGCAGATCCAGCGCATGTCTAATGGGTTCGTTCGGGTCATCCTTGCCGCCGACTGAGGTCTCTATCCAGGTGCGCGTGGTTTGTGTCTGCAGCAGTTCGGAGTTTCTTCGCTTGAGGGTTCAGACCCCTGAGACCCAGCAAAGCTTCATGGCTCCAATACCTAGACCCTCCATCTACCCTCTATTCGACCCCAAATACCCTTAATTTGGGACCATATACCCCTATTTGAGGGTACAAGGAGGGTCCTGGTATACAGGTTTTAATTGAACAGCTGGTTTGTGCTGCGGCTGCCGATCCCATCTTCGGGGGTGGTGTCAACGTCCCCCCGTGTCGCCCGTAAAGGCTCTGCGAGCAATTGCGGTCAGCCAGACTATGAAAAGGGTAGAAGCCAACTGTCTCTGAAAGCCGGGCTTTCGCGCAGTGAGGAAAGTTGAACGCCCCTTTAAATCAAATCCCTCCGGGAAAGTGTCGGTCGGCGCTTCGGGAGCTCTCAGATCATCCGAAACCAGATTCTGTGATACCGATACAGGCATACAATGCAAAGTTCCTTCAAAGAGTTGATGCGTCACAGCGGAGGCCCTGAGTCGAGGTCCGAAGAGTTCCTATCCAAGTTTGTGAAACCTTACCGTAGGCATCCGTAGGCCGTAGGGCACCTACAGCGTTCTCTGAAGACCTGGGAGTTCGAAAGGCCAGGGAGCCCGGCAGCGGCAGATGGCGATGCAAAGTGGCTCCTTTCGGTGTTCTGGTGGCAGGGCGGGTACTTGGAGGTTCATGGGTAGTCATAAGTAGAGTTCTAAGTAGGGCAACTATAATTATAACCCATATTAGGGGACTTATAACCGCACTTGCAACTACCCATGAACCTCCAACTAGTCAATCGGACTCGCCTCGAGTTTGGCGATGCATTCGCGAGCGGATCTGCGCACGGTCTTGGCAGTAGGCTTAGTGAAATTGGGAGCCGCGTTCTCGATTGAACGGTGACTGAGGTTCAGGATGAAACGTAAACTTTAGATTTTTTATGCTGTTGAGAAGAGCGGAGTGCAGATGTTCGTGGTCTGTGTAGGTTTTTTGTAAGCAAACTAGGAAGCTCCGCTCGAGGCGCTGGGCCTGAATCATGTATGGTGTTCTCTTCCCTTCTTTGCGATATCTGCTTTGTGTCCGCTCCTTTGCCGTGAAAGATTGTTGGGCCGCGTCGAGCCGTAGAAATTTTGAAATCGGTGACCGTCATAGAACCGGAAGCTTTAGCCTCTCCCGCTTGAAGGCCGGAGAGTAAGGAATAACCCAGCTGCAGGGCCGAGACTGCAGGCGTTCAGCTTGTGTGGCCCCGCCGTTTCTTCCTGGTTCGCCAGGTCCTGCCCATCGTGGTCTAAATTCTAAATCCAAAATCCACATCGCAACACCCCGATCTGAAAGTCCTTGTCTGCGCCAAGACAATCGCAATACATGAGTTCTTTGTGCAGATCCGGGATGCGAAGTCGTGAGCAGTCCCAGAGCCTAAACCATAAACTCCAAGACGCTAAGACCTAAAAGTCTAAAGACCTTAACCCGTGAAAAAGGCAACAGCCCCGAAACTACACCGGTCAGTTGGGAAATCCCAAAAACTTTCACCGCCCGAAACCCTGAGCTTCTTAAACTGCCGGGTTTGGGGTTTAGGGTACGGAAGGAAAGGGCCCTTAATATGGGGGCCTTAATAATTACCTATATGGGGGGGGTCCTCGTTATAACTATAGAAAAATGGGCCTCAAAACCCTATTCCAATTATTAAGGCCCTACATTGTACATTGTAGATCCCTTATAGTATCTCTGATAGTACCCCTTTTTGAGGAACCTTTAAAGGCTTTCAGAAGACCGCCCAGGTGAGGAGATGAAGTTCAAAGCAGAGAACTTGGCCGAACCCCCTGAAAAGCCCGAGGCGTCGTGCGGTTGTTTGACTTCGAGGTCGATGTGGGGGTTTCCGAAAATTAGGGGTACCTTATTTTGGGGTCCTTTTAATAAGGATCCTATTATTTAGGGTGCTATGTTAGGGTCCCCTATTTTCGGAAACCCCCATGTGTAGTGTATAGCAAAAGCAACAGCAATCGGAATAGCGTAGCGCGGGCACAGTATAGTGCGGTGTAGCTTTACGCAGTATAAAGAAGAGGCCTTAATCATGTAATTAAGTCAGCATGTGAACTCTGCAACTACGAATCCCAGATCTTCGACATCGGGGATGGCTGCCTACCACCCAACTGCATCCCTACAATGTACTACATCGTCCACCCTCGCGCCGGCTGCACCTCAGAGCACGTGACTTTGCCTGCCGATATCCGCACACACACACACACACACCTAAATACAATCGGTCTAGTTATGTAGTAGAACACCCATCGTAAACCAAAGCTTCGACGCCCTGCAGCATGACCTGAAAACAGCACCGTCATTGGCGGTCGTTGCGACACGAAGGAGAGGCAGCGGCAGCCGAATAACCACCATGAACAACAGCAGCAACAACAACAGCACCAACGTAGCAACAACAGCCTCAGACTCAGCAGCAAGCGCAGCAACGAGACGAGCAATACCCAGGACAACTGAGGAAAACGCAGGAGTACCACGCACAAAAACGAGGTGTGTTGAGAACAGCGCTTCATTAGTTCATCGATGGAAACTGACATCCTGAGTTTTGCATGCATGTACATCACCATTGAACATCGAGCAGGGGCCAAAAAAGCTGGTTTCTAGACAGAGGAGCCCGTCAGTGCGGACTGGCTGCGTCGAGGAGTTCAGGCTCCCGATCTTGTTGCTGTCGCTGGTGTATAATATAAGATGACTGAATCTGATCTAGTAACAAAGTATAGTATACTATAGTATAGTATAGTGTAGTATAGTATAGTATAGTATAGTATAGTATCGTATAGTATAGTATAGTATAGTATAGTATAGTAAGTATAGTATATTATAATATGCTACTTGTCTAGTGTAGTAAGTATGAAAAGGCTCAATTCCTTTTTGTAGCAGCCTTCGGCACTTCGGCACCTCCAGACCTCTTGTTGGCAAGGATGATGGGGGTTTAAAGCTACAGGTGCATGGTGAGAACCCTAAAATTTAAATTTAAAACCCTAAAACCCTAAACCCTTCACCCTAAAACCCTAAACCCTAAACCCCTAAACCCTAAACAGATAGAACTTGGAGCTGCTTCGGTGGGTTCGGTTCAGGACCCTACTTTCATGGCATCAGGTGTTAAAAGCCCTAGACCACCCCAAAAGGCTTCGAACGCCTGAGACTTCGTGAGGCGGCGGTGAAAGATGTGCCAGAGCACGAGGGCCAGGTGCCGGGTCCAGAATCGCTCTTTTTCAGGTAAGGTGGTGGTAGACGTGATGGCCTTGAGCCATGGGGTTGTAGCTGGTGTGGGTATGAAGCGGTTCCTACGACGGTGAAGACGATGATTCGAATAGCGTCGTTTCTTCATAGTTGACAAGCAGCATCTCCGAAAGCAGCATGCCCTGCGGTGTTTAGAGGCTAGTGCGGCAGTGGAAGAGTGACCGTAAAGATGAGTTCCGCAGGATGCCATGTTGACAAATGATAAAGATGATACAGTACTGATGATGGTGAATTTGAATCTAAGAGCATCATATTGTTACGGTTTGCAGCTGAGTTTTAGACTTATTGCTTGGGGTTTAAGAGTCCCCTTTGGGTTATCTTGTTGGTATTACTGGGGCTGATGCCGCTGTCGTTTATGAATGTGCTGTGGTAGTGTTGTTTGTTAGGTTGGTAGCATTGGTACTAGAGGCACTGGCAGTGCATGCATCTCCTGCTAGTGGTGCCGGAAGCAATCGTTGTTTCATCATGGCCCGCACGACAACAAGAAGTGGCTGCGCAGTTGCAATGAAGGTGTCAAAAATAGCAATATGATATCGTATAATGGAACATCGTATAACATAGCATTCATAACATAATGTAGTATCAGATCTTTGGAGGTCGTCCGGGTGGTGTCCATTAACGGCGATACCGGCCAGTGCAAGTGCGTCCTGCGCTCTACAAACGAGGCTATCGAGGCCGGGTGCTGGGGCTGATCAGGAGGATGCAGCCTTGAATGGCATGGTGCTCGTGAATAATGTTGGAGTCCTTTTAATAAACCCCGCCTGAGGTTGTTTTGCGTGGGCTTGGGGCAAGGTTTGGGTTGGGGGGTGGTGGGAATGACAAACCTCTGGCCGTGGGCTAGGACCGTGATGCGGGGAGAGGCACATGCCCTGGTGTTTGCAATTGGTGGCGAGTATTGTTTGGTGCCGTTGGTTGTTACGAGGAGCGTGCCCTTAAAAGTTTGCCTCGTCATGAACGAGTTTCTGACCGAGACTGTGCTGAGTGCAGTATGCGATAAACCTCGCCTGGCTTGTCCGAGAGCGAGTGCCGAAAGGAAGGACCGTTATTGTGCTTGGTCGTAGCTAACTCAGACATGCACCACTCCCACCGCAAAGACATGATGATAACTTTAAATGTCGCCGGCCCTAGGAACAATCACCACAAACAGAAGCACAACAAAAAGCACCAGCAAAACCGAGTTTTCCGGTGCTACTTGGTGCGTATTGAAGTAAGTAGTTGCAAATTAACACTTAATAGTTCGCCTCACGAACTCATACTTGCAGTCTTTGTGTTCGGCAAATTCTGTGCTCATGATTGCGCTTTGTCTGGTGCTAAATCTTGTGCTCATGATTGTGCTTTTTCTGGTGCTAAACGTTGTGCTCAGGATTGTTCTTTTTCTGGTTCTAAATTTTGTGCTCATGATTGTCCTTTTTCTGGTGTTAAAGGTTGCTATAGGTTTAATCCACTGGGCCTTCAAATCCTGGGGCTCATTTCTGCCTGTGTGATAGATAAAGAACCCTCATTTAACTGTTAGGGGGGGCGGCAGCATATGAAATGATGCGTCTCTTGGTGTCTTCATTTTAATTTGTTCATCCTGAAGCCATGTGTTCAGCAGACGCTAGCGACCATAGGAGCATGGACTTTGTTTCTACAAGTTTCTGTGGAGTAGAGAGCTGTCTACTTCCTACTTCCTAGACCCGAACACAGTGAGTTGTATAAGACAGTCTGCATCTTCCAGCTTATTAGAGGGCTCCCGGCTAAAGACTGTGTTGCAGAGAGACACGTCCGGTGAGCCTAGGTCTCTCGCAAGAACCTCCGGCCCCTGGCCGGCGCTGCAACCGCCTCTTGAGCCAATTCGGGAGTTTAGTCTGGCAGTCGTTTTACCTTGCCAAAGCCTGGAGGCTGCCGAGACAAGAGTTCAACATGAAGTTTTCTGAAGTGGAATCGCAAACAGCAAAACCGTGCAAAACACACACTTGTCATTCCTTGCTCCTAGCTAGCGATATGCACCCGGTTTGAACAAATGGCTAGGTTGGCCTGAAGCCTATGGGGCCTCACCCAGGCTCTCTCTCTCTCTCTCTCACACACACACACATGAGAGCAGTCCCTGTGTGACAAACCTTTGTAAATCAAAAAGAGGCAGACGGTACAATAAGAGCGAAAGGAGCGCTCAAAGCTGATAGCTGAAGGATTCATGCCTGAACCCTGATGCCAACACTTATGATGCAACCGGTAAGCTGTGCATATTTCCTGTGGAGAAGAAGCAACGATCCTAAAAATGGCGCAGCGACACCTCCCCTACATCCAAAACAGCGGGAACCCTAGGCCCCTACAGCCCTAGACCCTAAACCCAGACCCTAAACCTTAAACCCTTGAGAAAATAGAAGGTGTATATAAGTTGAGCGGTGCAGGTTTGTGTGGGTTTTCCCGGGCAGAATTATGCGGTCAGTCAATTGAGGGAAGCTTTTAGGCGGCCTGCCAGCAATAAGTCCGGCGAGGGCAGCCCCTCAGCAGGGCAGGACAGGGCAGGGCAGGGCAGGAGCAAAAAAAATAACTCCACCCAATACGCGCCCACAGCCCGACAAAACTCAAGACCCAAACCCTGCACAACTTCTGCAAAACCCGCAAGCCCTAAGCCCTATAAGCCCCATTAAACCCCTAAACCACAAGAAAGCTTCCAGGTCGCCGCACCAGAGCCGAAGGCTCCAGCACCCAAGAAGCCCACGGCCGGTACGGACTGGGTGGCTGGGATCCAAAGCTTAGAGTCTTGAGGTGCAAGAATAGGGTTTAGGGTTTAGGGCCTGTTTAGGGTTTCCGTCGAATCTGGAATTTCTTACTTGGTGAGTGACAACATGGTGAATTTCGATGTTTGCACTCACGTTTAGTTTAAGGTTTCTGTCCCTTCGGCTTCAGGCCGAGAGAGTCAGGGACCGTTACTTTTTTTGACCTGCCCCAAGTCTGAGCTTCCGGAGTAGGATGAAGGCGATGCTTCTGACTTTGGCAAGCTCACCGTGTTGGTGCATTTATGAATCTCGCGAACTTCCGTTTAGCGCTCTTGAGAGGGAGGTGCACCCCTGATACCCCATGTGCTAAGGCAGCGGTGGAGCTGGAACGCAGAAGTTCCTCAGTTTGCACGTGTGAACACACTTGTTCCTTGGGGGCGTAGCGAGCATGAGCTTTTTCGGCATTTCTTGGGTCCATATTCGAGCGATGATTCGGACCTGAGCCTATCCTCTGCCCCTGGAAAGCTTGGGGCCCAAGCTCCGCATAAACCAGAGCTTTCGGAACCGAAGGCCTGGAACATGAGCTGAACCTTCTCCTGAGACCCCTAGGGCTCGAAACACATGCAGGGTAAAGACGAGAGCAACAACTTCAGCACACAGCAGAAGAAAAATCACGTCGAGGACGGCAACAAGCAACAGCAACAGTAGCCGCAGCAACAGCAACAACAACAACACTCGCAACATCAACAAGAACGGCAGCAGCAGCAGCAGCAGCTGCTAGCACTCTGGGCTGGGAGCACGAAAGGAAAAGGGCCAGTCGCCTGCAAGTACTCCCTGGCTTCTCGCCAGATGCGGGAACCCGTGCTATAGATTCGACATGCTCACTGACTTTGGGTTGGCTCTCTGGCAGTGCCTGGAGTTCTCGCTTCAGGTTCCGTTTTTGTGACAGCAAGCAACGCTGGCCTTACTGCTCATCTTGCTTGATAGGTTGCTTCCTGTGAGCATGAATGCCGGAGCTTAAAGAACCATTTGCATGCAAGTGCTCACATATGTGTTGCAGCTCACCGGGTATTTATCACAGTGCTTCTTAACATGCAGGTGGATGCATTTCCGCGCATGGAAATCTCAAGCTGGCTTTCCAACCGATGGCCGATAGCCAAAGCAGCAGCTGGAGCAGCACCAGCAACATCTCCAGCAACACTATATGCTGAGACAGTGTCAGCAGAGACACGAGAGTGTCCAGACCAACACGCACAGGCACACATGACCTGAAACGCCCAGGACTGGACCGGAAAGTGGGCTCTAGGTGACGAACACGAAAGCATCAACTTTAAGGTTTGTGCTTGATGGGCATGTTCATGTCTTGATTTTTGTCTAGTGTCGCGGTAGGAGAGGAACCCGAACCCCAAAGGCCCAAACATGGACGTCATCCCAGGGCTGGCCGAGGGCTTTCGGTCGGGTTTCGAGGAAGGCGCCACTGCAACTCGTCTGTAAAATGCAATTTGGGCAGCAGCACAGGAGACCATGGTACTGGCAGTAGTGGCCAAGCAGAAAGTGATGATGGCCATGATGAAGAGGATCATGCGCATCAGCATCATTGCCACGGTTGCTCTCATCAACATCACCATCATCATCATCATGATTATCATCATCACCAACCACCGGATTTGTAAGAACTATAGGTCAACACCATCATGGCCATCTTCATGGTCATGGTCATGGCCGTAAGAGTGCTGATGCTGGTGATGCTGCTGCTGGTGGCGATGTTGCGGGTGCTGACGACCATTCACTTGCCCATGCTTCAACACCACGGAGGTATTGACCACATGCCAAAGCATCTTTCTCCTGTTCTGCGACAAACTGGAAACTGAAATAGTAAATAGTACAGTAATCACAGTAGAAGAAGCTGTCTGGTTGATTAGCAGTGTACAGTTCTAAGATCGGTTGGACAGCCATGCAACATGCTGTACAGCAGGCACGCGTGTGTATCCACTTGCGTGTTGCATGTGTGCTTCCATCTCCTTACTTTGAGTGAAACTAGAATCAAAGAGCAGTTTGTTATTATTATTAATATTATTATTATCGTTCTTCTTATTATTGTTCTTATTATTATTATTTATTATTATTTATTA